ATAAAATCTTGTTTTGTACATCATATACAACTACTGAAATTATATTCCACAATACAATGTATGTTGTATTTTTAAGTCATACCTTTATCGAATTCTTTCTTGTGCAATATCTTTTTTAACGTTATTTTCAAGAACTTGAGTAACATAATTAATAGCATCGTGTTGCTTTTTTCCTGATATATCAGCATTCTTAATTACTTTTTTGCTCTTCCGATCGATATTTTATTTGTTTTTTTCTTGTTGACATTCAGCAGATCACAGCAGGATCGCTCTCCTCTCCGATTTAATGAACGAGTGTGATTATGTTATATGTGAATCCGACGAAACGTCATTTATTTTAAGCATGTGCGCAACATTTCTCGACATGATGAGCGCATAATACAAATCGCGCGCGATGACATATGATTTTATAATGAACGGATTGGCGATTGCTGGATGCTATCACTGTTCCGAATACTTTTGGAAACTTTTTTTTGAGTTCGTTGGGCCAGAAGAGAAAAACGATCATTTATTTATAAATAGAACATTGACATATTTTTAATATTCGGGCGATAATTTCGAATAAATTATTACAAATAGTTTTAATATACTTACGTTGTATGTATTTGTCAAATTTTTTTCATTTTTATGTAATAAATGTTATAAGAATTATCGGCTAAATAATTAATGCAGGATAACAATAATCGTTTTTATTAATTTTTTTTTTACTATAAGAAGAAAAATGCAAAAAAAAATGTCATCACACGGTGTTCCCAAGCGGTCAATTCGCTTGTCCAACAATGTCAGATTACCGAATCGCTTGCTTGAAAGAAAATTTCGTTTAGGTTTTGATTATTTTTTCTCTCAGTCTTTGCTATTTTATTTTAGGGAAGAGCAACGGTGTATTTTACACTGTATGGGGGATACTGCTAGGAAATCACCTTATTTTCCTATGCTTCTTCCCTTCCCTATACCATGTTAAGGCGTGTATACAACCGAACGAGTACCATTCAACCGTGCCCAACGTTGCTTGACTTCAGTGATCAGACGAGAACTACTTTAAGCCCACGGACGTGGGTATGGACGTTGATGAATCTGATATCCTTATTCATAGATGATTTTGTTCATATAATTCCATTACTTCGATATTATTTCCAAAATTGTTTATATAACAATAAATTTTTGCATAATTTTTATATACACTTTTTATGTTGTAACAGCAACTGCTACACTGAAAAAAAAAATGATGTGTGCTAACAGCATTATTTTTATTGAAAATAATTTTGATGATTAAAAATAAGTTTGTAGAGTCTAAAAATTATCCATTCCTTTACAAACATGGTTTATGATATTGATTTTTAAGAGAGAACTTAGCATTCTTATGTTGACTCTATTTGAAAGTTTTGAATAAATCTACACTAAAAATAACTCTAATATCTAATTCATTAATCTAATGAACAATGAACAACAAATGCAAAATCAAATTTATTATTAAATTATTTGGAATTTTCTTATCATAATCCCATTCGATAAACACGAATTAGATAAAACACGAATGAATGCGAGCGAACGATGCTTAGCATTCTGTTCCCATGACTGGTTATTCGTTCGGTTGTATACACGCCTTAACATGGTATAGGGAAGGGAAGAAGCATAGGGAATAGGAAGGTGATTTCCTAGCAGTATCTTCCACACAGTGTAAAATACACCGTTGCTCTTCCCTAAAATAAAATAGCAAAGACTGAGAGAGGGAACAATCAAAGCCTAAAAGAAATTTTCTTTCAAGCAAGCGATTCGGTAATCTGACATTGTTGAATAAGCGAATTGACAATTTGAAAAATGGGTAATTCTTCGGAATTTTCATATTCTCATATAAAAAATTGTGGATATCATGACAAGTCGAGCAATCTTCAATTCCTACATGAATATATATACGTGTATTTATCTTATACACATGTAAAATCAATTGTGTGGCTACTAGTGTATGTATGTGTAGGAATAAAGTCGGTCGTCATGGTTACCGCTTGTAAATGTAAGCAGCGGCCATACACTTGTCAAATGTACCGTAAAGTCTGACTTAAGTGCCTTAAGTTACCAGGGGCATTCACCTGACGCATGTTTCAACGCTGCGTAAAGAATAAAGATGGATTGGGCTAACGATCTTGAGATCACTTCGAAAAAGGTAAAGTTTTTAAAAAATTTTCCCAAGTCCCTATAGAGCAGGCCTGTCCAATTTGAATTCAGCAGAGAAAATGCAAAACTATCGACGTAAAAAAATTCAATGTGTGAGCAAGATTTTAGGAACTATAAAGTGTTGATAAGCGTCACCTTAGATGCGCATCAACACTTGACAGTCCCCGAAATCTCATCCACATAGAATTTTTTTGCGTCGATGGCTTTGCATTTTGGCTCCGGAGCTCAAATTGAACAGGTCTGCCATAGAATATTAATAAGAGAATCAATTATATAAAGATACGATATATAGTTTTAAGAAATGTGTATTGATCAATTTGCAGCTACTACCTCGCCTAGGTAGACGTGCAGGTCAGAATAATTTGCTGGAAGATAATAAATCCGATGATGATCCTCTGGAGAGTCCTATTTCCTTATCGTCCGGAAAGTCTATATCTATGCAAAGACCAATAGTTCCACCTCGGTCGAGAAAAACCGGCTGGGGCGACGAATTGAAAAGTGGCAAGTAAGTAAATTGTAAATTAATTACAAAGTCTCGACAAGAGCAATAAAAATTTTCAACTCTTTTTTGTCATTTATGTGTAACGACACTGTTCGTAACGGTAGCAGATTTTTACTATCTATTTTTTCCATCTACTTTCATCGACTTCTAGTGTTTCGAGAAGATTAAAAAGTTTATTTCATAAATAGTTAAGTGCACGTAAGTGAAAGAAGAAATAAAAGACATTAAAAAATTCGTATTGCATACATATTTATATCTTAAGTTCGTGTTAGACTTATATTGATTTATAATCTGCAATAAGCGAGCCCAATTTTACTCAATGCAAGCAATAATTCTCGGTAGTGGAGTTTATATCCAGAAGAAGACAAAAAACAACAAATGTATATAAATGAATTAAAACAAATTTGTTAATGTTTAAGTACAACCAGTTAAACAATTCTTTTTTCATTGCACAGATCAAAGGCGACATCAAACATTATTGAACAGTGAGTACAATACATAAAAGTGAAGAATCAAGTATCTAGCTATTGATAAATCCTATTTCTTAGGGAACGTTTTCGAGTGATTGAAAAGGAGGAGCAAGAAGATGGTGAGCTGATTTGGGACAAACCATGTTAAGAGCTTATATATTGTCCAATTATTTAATTAGTAATTTTACCTCATTTAGATCAATTCTTTTGTTAATGTAATTTTTCAATATTTGCAAAAATAGACATTAAAAATTGATATATTTTTTTATTACTCACTACTTCTTTATATTATTGATCTCTGTATTTATAGATATTCCAGTTATACCAGATTTGGATGAAATTCAGGAAGATAACATCTCATCTGACATTGCAAGTGCTCCCACGTAAGTAATCTTTATTTTTATTATTATTGAAGATTTTTATGATAAAAATTATATTAAAATTCTTGCATAAAATGTACATAAAGTAAGTTACAATCTAGATGAAAAATAATAATTTATTTATTCTCTCTGTAATAGAGAGAGAGAAAGATTATTAAAAATAAAAAATTATAAGTACCTTTTTTTTACAAAAGTTATTTTAAGTTCTTTTAATTATAATATTACATAATTATATGAATAACTTACTATTATTATTTCAGTAAAGAAAAAGTTTCTTTTTTTATATATTGCGAGATGAATTGAATTGTGGTGTGTAATTTTTAGAGTCAACGCAAATAGAGTGACTGCGTACGAGGAATTGGACACTGATTTGGTAAAAAATGCTGCATATACATCGTTGGACGGCGTCAGCCTTTCTCTCCTTGCAGACAAATTGTACAATGAGAATTTAGTGAAGGAACCGGATGAAGTTTGGAATTGGAATCTCCTCTTCACGCAAATTTCTTCAGAGATTAATAGCGAGACGCAGAAAAAGATCGAAGCTTGACGAAGCATTTTGTATTTTAAAATAAAAATGAAAACTTCTCGTATATACAAATATAACAATAACATTCTCGATTATATCATTCATTGGCGATATTGTTTTAAATCAATTCCCAGAACTCGTGAGAAACAATCCTAGAAACTAATATAATCGTTAGTCTAATTTACTAAATCGAAGTCTACAAAGAAGTGCAACATTTTTTTCTCTACGAGTTGAAATAAAAATAGCTGTATCACTGAATTTACTATCAATGTCATTTCAAATTAAATGTAATCTTTTTATTGATAATCATCTCATTGAGGTTGAAAATGTTTAACATTACCAAATTTATTTGCCTCGTAGCTTTTCTCCTTGAATTAGTAATTAAGGTCAATTCAAAGATTTCATGAGCCTGTTTCTTTTTTTTTTAGCTAAACTGCTGAACTTTTGCACCAGTTCATCTTTCTTCCTTTTTGCTTTAGAAGAAAAGAAGAAGAAGAAGAATGAACTGGTACAAAAGTTATTATAAAAAGAACAACAAGGCCTAATAAGACCAAGTTGAAGGAAAGGCAGAAAAAATTCCAAAAGGATTGGATTAAAAGAATAAAAAATGGCGTACCGCCGTCAGCAGTGCCTGCATATGGAAGCGACAAATTACCTCGTCTGACCTATTCGATTGCCCCCCAATTTGGAAATCGCGGTACTTCGAGGAGTGACGTGAAGACTCAGACCGTGCAGGCGTGCAAATCCGTGGTCGTAAGACGAGCCACGAAGATGCATGCGCAATCGGGAGTCTGACACTCAAGCTACTTGAAGCTTACGACAACGTGACAACACCCACTGAGCAGATCTGCCATAGCTCTAACGTCAGCGATCAATGTTCAGTTGTGCCATCACTAGCACACGCTTCCGAAAGTTACTCCTTCCCAGGAGCTATATATACCAATCTATCCGTTTTGGAGCACATACGAGAAACAGACGGCTCTTTATTTCCGACGTCCCAGGTGAATCTGCTGCGATCAAACATCGTTATCCAGCATCTCCATTGAAATCTTTCATTAAGTGTCAGATATCTTGACACGTGGTTAATAAAAATTTTACGATTATTATCTAAAAATCAGACGCAACGAAAATCAATCGTACAGGCAATGGCCATCTAGTGGCAGATTTCGTACTTTTGTTGTATATAAAAAAAAAAATACGATACACGCGGCACTCACAACGCAGGCGCGATCAGCGATGACAGCGATAAATACACGAGTTTGTCGACGGAATAACTTGACT